GCACTCCTCTTGTAAACAGATGTTGTTCAAAACTGGACAGGTTACCACTCTACCAGAATGATGAATTTTTTTGTATGTCAAGCGTTATCTTTGTTTTGCCTTTATCTCCATGGAGCAATGTGTGCTCCCCCTGGTGGCCAGAATGACACCTTTAGCTTCTTAGATCAAGCTAATCATACTACAACTCATTTGCCAAAGGGGCGTTTTATTTTTTCATGTTTCACAAGTTTTAGGTTCCAATTCAACGTTTTTCAAAAAATCAATTTCCCTCAATTCATTCCAATAAATTTCTCATTTTTCATCCAAGAGACCTGTTGTTAAAACCATCCAGTTAAAGAATTTTTGTTTTGTTGTTTGTCGTTTTGGGTAGAATAAAATCTTATAAAGCTAAAACACATCCACCAGTGACTGGGATAACTCCCAAAAGTGAAAATTGTGTGAGCAATATAAGCCACTGGAGATAATCCATCGAGTGAAGATATCTCACCAGAGAAAAAGGAAATAAAGTGCTACACGATGGAAATGTAATTTAGTAGCTGAGTGTACACTTGATCAGCTTATTTCATCCTTAAGAAAAAAACAGAGAGAGTGGAGGCGACCCAGGTGGTTAAATTTTAATGCAGTTGAAATTCCATCACCCATGAAAACTGTAATTGGGATTCCTCTTTCGGATTTGGCCAGCCCAGAAACAGATGTGTGTCCCAACGAGGATCACAGACCACTTTTCCCGGAGAAGAGCTCTTTAGAATGACACAGAGGTTTGAACCAGTTTCAACTCCAAAGAAGAGACTAGACTAAAGTGAATATAATTGTTCCAAGTGTTTAGAATTCCCAAGCTAGATTGTGACTAAATGTGTGGTTCTCGTTTTAATACCTTGAAAAAGAAGACAGTGCATTTCCTCCTTGCCCTGCCCTTTAAAAAAGAATCCAAAAACAGGAGAATTTTTTTTAAGTTGAAATCCAATAGTTTGGCCAGAAATATCTCAGCCACAGGACATTTATTCCGTGAGTGAGGCTATAATTCAGATAGCGAGGTCAAGGTGAAAACCAACTAGCTTTTTGTGCATAGATCCCACCCATTAAAAGAAGAGAATCAAATGTTTCTCATTACATAGCCTGACCAGATGCACAATCCTTTCAACTGAGCTCCTCGGGCACATTTTGGCAAGATTCTAAATTCATATCATCCAGCATAACATGGAGCAGGTAGAGTTTCTTTTGAAAAGAAACCCAGGCCAATGAAATTCTAGCTAGGGAAGCCGACGCCAGGAAACCTACAGAGTGCTTTAACCCGGACCACCGATCAATTGAATAAACCCCATCCTCTTTAACAGGAGTCAAGAAACACACAAAGGGAAACACAGCTGTCAATGAGCAGGATTCATCCATCAGGAGGTTAATTCCATGTGGATTTCAAGTGAATCTGGGAGAGGGAAAAAGAATGCTTGTGCCAATACTAGACATTGACAATATTTCTTCAAACAGGGTTCTTGCCCACCCCTTTGCCTCCACGTCTCTTTCCTGACCTACAGTGACTGACTCTCCTCATGCCCCAGGCCTCTTCCGGCTTTGAATGCCCTTCGGTGATCCGTAGAACAAGTAAGGATGTCTTCAGGAAAGACAAAGTTCTGTGTCTCTTGTCCCTCTGCCTCCTTCCCTTTGGTTTGCTTTCCTTTCCCCTTGCCAAATAGCAGCCACCTTTCCTGGAGAAGTTATTACAATACTTTATAAGCACTTCATCCAATAACAAATGCAACAAAATCCTGTCTTTATTCATTTAAAGCACAAAACTTGCCCTCTTTACAAATACTCTGTTTTTAATAAACCCTTGTTGATATGCATCCACTCAAGAGAAAAAAGTGAACATGGTGGAGCCGAAGCTGCTGGAATGCAAAGATCAGATCTCCAGACCACGTCTGTGGGTATCTAACACAACTCTTGGTAAGCACTTTTAAATAGCACATATACAGAAACTGAGATATTTTGCTGTCTGCATTTTCTTTCCTAGAAGGATTTCATAAAAGATAGTAATAGTGTTCACCTTTACAGATAAGAAGAAACTTTCACTTTCATTTCAATGTTTCTGTACGGCTAGAATTTTCTAATGATGTACATATATTACTCTCATTCTTTCAAAAAATCAAAGGGCTATTTCAATGATTATATGTCATTTTTGTTTATTTTCTTCTTAGAACTTCTTTATATTTTAAAAAAATTATTCTTAAATTTTAAAAAAATGATAAAAGGCAAGTGCTAGAGCAAAGACAAATAGCCTTTAGAGAGTGATTCTTTCTCAAATTATTCTACCCCACTTGTTACTATGTAATTTTATCATGAGTCCCCAGTACCTCCACAGATCCACATGCACAGACGACGAAAATGCAATATTCCAATGGGATCATCTTTTAAAAAATGTTTAAAGTCAGGGTCCCCCATCAACCATAGAAAGGACTCTTCTACCCTTGTTAACAGCAAAATCATCTCCAGGAAGGTGAAGCAACACCAGTGCCAGTCTTCCTGCAGGCCAGGTCACTGTGGGTGTCACCGCATTGAAGGGTGCATTTCACAGACAGGAACATGGAGTCTTGCAGAGGTCACAGGCCTCCAGTGGAGCAGGGATTTAAGCCAAGCTCCCTGGGACTTCCCATGGCCACAGCCTCGGGAGAGAAGGGATATCCCTGCACAGCTCACATGAAACATCAAAGCCTGTTGGCACTGTGACTGGATGGTGGCTGTCCTCCATGAATGCACACCCCAGAGCCAAGGACTCTGAATGACCCACCTCCAGCCACAGGATATGGGGAACCCCAGGGGACAGATTCGGAAAGTGACTCCTTTTGTAAGTGACATTTACAACACATGCATCCTTCCTGGGTAGCATTTTTCAGCTCTTCTCACCCTTAATCCCAGTCAGCCCAAACTCAGGGTGGGAAGTGGCAACTCAGACATAGAGTCTGGTTATACAGATTCTTCTCATTTCTTCAGGAAGGGGGAGGTGCCTTCTTCCCGGCCCAGGCAAGCCAGTCCTCCTCCAGGCAGCAAGGATGGATGCTGGAAAATCCTGTCAATGATTGGGCATGCAAAGCTCATCTAAGCACATGAAGACAGGCTGAGAGGACGGGAGACTTGACAGCAGGCTTCCTTCTCACACTTTATCCCCATTATCATTATGACCAGCCTCTGCAGGAAATGCAGGCACAGAAGGCTGAGGACCCCAGGCTCAAAGTTCAAGCCCCAATCTTGGCTCTCTGATGAGATGGTGTCACCCAGTTTCTGAGCCCAAGCCCTGTAATTTGTAGCTTGCTGTGTGGTCTACAGAAAATAAACCAAATAGCTAGCCCTCGATATTCTGATCTATAAAATGGAACATTCTTTAAAGGCAAGAGACTTTGAAAACCTGGGAAGAAAAGTTCCTATATGAAAAAAGCAGATATTCTTTTATAACTAATACCTTCAGCAGGTATGACTGCAACAAGATGCAATGAAAATAATTTCCCCACTGGTTCCCTCCATATGTCCAAGCAACCAACTGCACTTACAAGCAAAACTTTCCATTCAAAGATCTCTTATATCAGTTTGAGAAAGCCACACACAAGGAGGAAAAACAAAACAATTAGCCAGAGACCCGTTTGTCGTGAGAAATCCCTAGATGATGTGGGAGCCTTCAACGATTTTCTTCAGCTTTCAGAATGTTAAAATGTTCTGGAAAAGTCCTCCAGTGCTGCTCAATGCCTTTTGCCCACTTTATTCCTCTAAGAATTAGCTTCATTTGGGGGTGATTTCTGCATATTGCCGCTCTGCCCCAGTTCCCCAGGGCTGAGCTGGAGCTTCCTGGGACTGATCCCGAAGCTGTCCCTCCCATTTCACTTTCTCCTCCTCCTCCTGCCCAACCTGGGATGCAAGTGCTCATGACTAAACCATTAAACTAATTCTCTCTTAGTCATGTTCATGCTGGAAACGCAGGGGCTAGAGTCGGTGAGGGGTACCCACCTACACAACACTCCAGACTGAACACCGGCTTGCTCACCCTTACAAAGCACACTTCAGATGCTTTCCTTTATTCAAAGGCAGCCACGTTTAACAGGTGACGTCGGACTCTCACCAGTGACATCTTTATGACTATAAAAATTGCGGTTTTATGTCCAAGGTCCCACCACCGGTGCACCTGAACTGGGAAGCTGTTCATAGCTTTGGTGTCCTGCTCTAGAAGGCATTTTCTGGGGTTTTCTGACCCCCACCCCCTTGCAAACCAGAAGCCAGATTGCACCTTTGTACCCGGAAGCACTTTGTGGTTTGAATTAACAATGTGTTGGCCCCTGAATACCAAAAACAGGGCTGATAGGTTTACCATGTGTCAGATTCCCTTTGTTGGGTGTGGAGGGGTGGGAGGGGGCCACTCCAGGGCTCAGGATTGTCTAGCCACAGAGAACACCATGGTCCCAGTGCCCTTACTCCTACCCCAGTCTTCTCCAGGAGTGACATCATCTCACAGGAGAAAAAGAGAAGCCCAGCCACTGGGCACTGAGAAAATACAAATTTCCAGACACTGTCCTTGGAGGGGAGGGAGGGGAGACGGGGAGACAACAGTTCACTGGGGTTTTGTTAGGGTTCATTATTATTAAAATGGAAAATAAAAGCTGTGGCCTCTCTGTCCACTTCCTAGTTCCAAGCTTCCTCCATTAGGCCTGGGGGGACCAGAAGGGTGAGGCTAAAGAGAGGAGGGACGATGGTGGAGATCATGCGGGGCTTCCCAGAGAAAGGAAGGGGTCAGGGAAGCAGTACAATGAAAAGAAACAGAGCCACGACTGTAAAGGGCGAGAAAGAGAGAAGGTGGTGGAAGGTGCACGGGGCTGGACCACAGGAAAGGAAGCACAGTAGATAGGGGAGAAGGAGGGAGCAGAGCTGGGGAGACTGGGGAGAAAAATGAAGAGGGCAAAGGGCAGGAAGGGGAAAGTGGGGAGGGAAAGGAAAGTGGGGTAGGAAGGAGGGAGGAAGGAAAGGAAAAAGCGAAGCGAGGGACAGCAGGAAAGAGAGAGAAAAGACAAGGGAAGAAGGAGGGAAGGAGGGTGCCGAACAATCCCGGGAGAAGTCGGAAGAGAAGCTTGAGGCTGACAGAGCGAGGGAGGCCACGTCGGAGCCAAGATCGCGACAAGGGTGCGACAGCCTAAAGCCAAAGTTCAGAAAAGCCCAAAGTCCCTGGCCAACCAAGGAGGTGTGGCCGCAGGGCCGGAGGGCAGGGCGAGGCCTGGCGGCTGACGGGCGCGCCCCCCGCGGGCCGGCTCCGGGCACCTCCTCGGCGTGTCCTCGGTCCTGCGCGCCCCGGTCGGCCCACCAGTCCGCCTCTTCCTCGGGGCTCGGGCTCGGGGAAGCGCTGCCCTAGGAGGTCGAGGCCGGGATGGGCAGTCCGTGTAAGCTACTGAGGCCGTCCGGGGCCTTGCCACCAGGGCTGGGCGGCTTCCGGTCGGCCACTGCGGGAAGAAGCACAGGGGCGTCGGGTCACTGCCTGGCGCAGCGCAGGGCGAGCTTGACTCGGGACGCCCGAAACCGCGGGTGACAGCGTGCGGATCCGGGGGTGAACGCTGTGGCGCGCGCTCAATACTTCCAGTGTTCGGAAGAAGGAAACAAAGATCCGAGTTTTCCAAGGGCTCCACGTGCCCGTTGGCGCCCACCCCTCTTCGTCCCCTTAAGGAAGTCAGTCGCGAATACAGCCTTGGCAAGCGACTCTCCTCGAAAGGCCATTTTGCAAACGCTCTCTGACCGCTGACCAGGTGCACTTCCCTCCGCCCCGCGCCCGCGCCCGCGCCCGCGCCCGCTCAATAAAGGAGGCACGGGCTCCGGGAGGCGCTGCCGACCCGTTGGCCCCTGGCGGGGGACGTTCTCAGATTTGAGACTTCAGCGGAAGGGAGCTGGGAGCTGAGATCCGTGCGGCCCCCTCTTCCTGACCCGCGCGCACAGGCCCGAGGAGCTGCCAACGCGTCAGGTCAGCGGTCCCTCAAAGCGGCTCCGGGCGCTGGCGGTGGGCAGGGGGAAATCGAGTGGGGACCGAGTCACCCAAGACGGCCCTTGCAGAGGGCCTGGGGCGGAGGAATTCCTCCGATATAGGGGGCCGTCGCGCTTTAAGTGGGCGGCATACTCTGCTATGCCCCCGCGGCCCGGGGGTCCAGATGCGCTCACCACTGTGGGCACAGCACGCTCTGGGGCTTGCGGGCCTCCGGATTAAGTGACAGTGGATTTGCCAGATCAGGCGGCATTCTGCGCTTTGCTCTGTTATTTAGGGGTTTGGGAAGGGGCCCGTGTTTTGCTACTGGAAGCCAGAAAAGTGACGCCACGATTGTGCAACGTCTGTTTTTCCTTTCCCAACGCCGGCCGCTCAGCTTCTCCTGCAGTAGGAGGCACAAGCTTGTTTATACCTAAAGGCGCCTATTTTCAACTTTCTTTTTTTCCCCCTACAAGTCCAACTCTGGATTTTTTCTTTTTCTTGCTGTGGCTGTAGAGCTGGGCGGTACACACCCCTCTGTGCAGGGGACACACACGCTCACACGCACGCACACACATCTGGCTTCACAAAGATTTCAGAGGGTCCAGGACAGTGACCGCTCCGCTCTCCCCCGCCTCTCAGCTCTCTTTCCTAAACACAGTTGCGGCCGCCCAGCCAACAATGTTTTCAGACCTTTTCTTTCCACTCTAGACACACACTTCAAGGTGAGGACCTATTTAGAAAACATCTGAGGAGGAGGAGGTTTCCCAGCCAAGGCCGGTTGCCCTAGAGACAGGCGAGAAAATGAACTTGTGAAAAACAAACACCCAGGAGCCCAGAGAGAGATTCCACCCCACTCTGCAGGGCCGAATCCTGCCTGCTTCGGCGTTTTGAGCTCCGCGCGAGCCACTCCCTCCGCCTTAGAACCCTCCTCTCTCCCTTCCCACCCGCAGCCCCCCGGGGCAACGTGAGCGGGTGTGTCGTGGGGGGCCTTGGAGGCTTGGGCCGGCGTTAGGCGCTCTGCAGGCTCATTTCATCTTTAGGGGGCAGGAATGGGGACAAGCGTTTTTAAAATGCTAAGACTGCGATTGCAGGGCTAAAGAGACCATAGGAGGGGGGCCGGAGGCGCGGGGGCCTGGCAAGGGTCTCTCAGGGCGAGGTCAAATGAGACCAGGGTGGGCGGCGGCGGCGGCAGCTCTCCCGAGAACGCCTGCGCCCTTGTGACCCCTGGCCAAGTTTGCTTTTAGGTTCCTTCAAGAATCATTTCGGAGCAGAGATTACTAGAACGAAGCTGCGAGTTACCTTTAACAAATATAAACAGCACCTCTTCTTTGAGTGTATGCAGTATCTTATAGATTTGATTTCCGAATCTTTAGTCTTTCCAAAGCCCCCCTGGGTGGCAGTGTAGAACCTTGAGGTTCTGACGATTACTGGAAACACACTGGAAATACCAGCTGTCTTGAGGGGACATCTGGTGGGGCCTGTCACCTGTGGGGGGTGGGGGGAGGTGGTCCTGCCCTGACTGAAAAGACACTGGGATGGATGTGGACATTCCTACAGTATCAGCGCCCCTCCACTGTCTATGAAGTGGAACTTGTCTATTCTCCCAGTTCCCAAGAATTAAAGTTTCCTTTCAGGGAGGGGAAACGTAAATCCAGACTTTCTTGCCTACATAACAGGGAACCCAGACTCTCTACCCTTTACCAAGATAAAATTAAGAAATCATAATGCATAATTTGACGTTTGATTAAGCTTCTCAGGATAACCATTCATGTTCATTCGCACCTGATTTGAAGAACATACTGAAATATGCATTACAATATATATTATTCTGTGTGTATGTTGTGCTTGTATGGACTAGATGATCAAAATATTTGTTTTTTACTGAGCAGTCATGATATTCACTTGCTTTCAGTAAACAATTTTTTTCTTACTGAAAAAAATTGAGTAAATGATATTCTTACTATTCTTACGAATGGAACAACAAGTAATGATAGCAAGTTGTCTTGTGGGATAAGTTTCTTGGAAGATAATTTCTTAAGCAATGATTAGAAAATTGAAGGCAGTGATTCATATTACTTTGCTTTGTAATTTTTCAAAGACTAGTTTTTTGGGGGCGAGGGTCTTTGAAGTCAGCTTTTCTGCCAATGAGAAGAAGAGTAAAAATCCACAACCCAAGTAGGTATGTAATTCTCATTATTTTTATGTTCTTGTTCAAACATAAACAAACACTTGTTTGCCAGCTTGAGAAATCATTTTTAATGATGGACCTGATTTATTCAATGATCCTTTACCTGGATTTCTAAAGAACTGTAAGGATCAGGAAATTAAATTATTAACTTAATAACGAATGTAGTTAATTATTGCTAACTACTGTAGTTAATGTAGCTAATTACTGCTAATAACTATTAGCAGATTTTGAAAGTGGGTGGGATGTTTCATAATAGGAAGAGAATATAATGGTAAAAGGGACACGAATGCCAGTGCCATTCAAACGTCTTTGTATTTCTGAAAGGAAAGTACCTTCTAAAGAAATCAACCAACAATGATTCCCCACCCTAAACTGACCAGAGTTAGCCTGGAAATCAGAACTGCATGTTTTACCTTTGGGTTACTACCCAGCCCTTATAATTTGTTTCTAATGTAGCACTTGAAATGCCCCAGGACAAAGTGGCTCAATTAGTAAAAGAGGGCCTCGCTCTGAAGATAGCAAGTCTTTTTTCTAAGTCTTCCTTCCTGGGATCAGCCCAGAGGAAATCATTTAAATTTGTGGATATACTCTTCCAGTTCAAATGAACCTGCTTAGTTAAAAGATTTGTGTAAAGCTGTAATGAGGTAAATTCCATTTCAATTTCTAATTCAACAGATGACCTCAGTAATCAAGAAAACAGGTAGATTCCAGGCCAAGGACAAGACCCTGGGCAAAGCACCCACCCTGAGACCCCCTCACCCCATCCTTGAAGGGAAAGCTTAAAGGAGTTCTAAGTCTCAATTTTTAAAATTTCTTTTGCTTGGATTTTCTTATAAATGAACATGGTATTATCCTTTATTTAAATTAAATTTAAAGCCTAAAGCAATTTTAATTCTCAACTTTTGTAAATTTATATCCCAGGATGTTTGTGCTCTGGGAGAGGTGAAAACAGAAAAATACTTTTGTTCCTCCACTTGGCTGATACTGATAACATCTTAATCTTCTCTCTTTTTCTCTCTCGCTTCTTCCTTTCTCCCTCTCCCTGTCTCTTGGATTATGCTATTGTGTCTCACTGAGATTACCTGGAAATAAAGTTTTTTGCCTGGGCATCACCAAAGAGCAAGTGCCCTCCCATCCCCTGTGGCCTGCCCAACTCCACCTGCCCCCTACTTCTGTCTTGGGAAGTGTGAGGTGGATCCGCAGCGAGTAAGGACCCTGTTGTGATCAGGAACATCCCTCTGCCCCACAAGCCCCCCCCCCCCAGGCTTGTGCCCTGTCTCCTTCACTGCTGGGGTGGGAGTCCCTAAGGTGACTCTTCCCTTCCCCATGGTAGTTGAAGTTGCAAATTTCTAGTGCTCAGAACCTAAATGCAGGCAGGTTCAAAATGAGCAAATCCAGACATTTTTTTCACCAATGGGGAAAATGAGGACTCAAGGGCAGGTGAGCCTTTCTGAAGTTATGGGAAAAATCAGATCCCAAGGTCACTGTAAGAAGATGCCTCTCACATTGCTGACCTCAAATCTGTTAGTTGGCTTATGGGGGGGGTAGATTTATGGAGGAGGGGGGAGAAGAGGAGGAGGAGAGAGAAGCCTCTCAGCCACATTTCCCACAGGAACAAGGACCCCAAACTACACAGAGTTCCAAAGAGTCTAGGCTTAGGGACACATGGTTGAAATGCTCTCTCCTCTCCCAAAAGATGTGTTTAAGAAAATGAATCCAAGGGGACATCAAGGCCTGGCAAAAAAAAAAAAAAAAAGGAACCTGGAAGAAAAAGATGGGCAGTGCCTGGAAGGATCTAGGACAGGTGCAACCCCACCTGTGGGTTTCAGGTGTCACAGCAGGTCCACCATAAAAGGCAAAGCTCCACAGGCCACAGAAAAGTGAGGTGCCTTCACCTGGAGGGTGCCTTCTAGACCATTCTATGGATAGAAAACTGAGACCCAGAGAGGCGCATAACCTTGGCCAAGGGCACAAGAACCCGATCCAAGGCTAGGAGTCCTGTTCGCCAGTCTGACCCTCTGTCTTTTCTCTTCGTACAAGGCCGGGGGTCAGTCCTGGGGTGTCTCTCAACCTCTGCCTGCCTTTCTAGGGTAAGGCATACACCTGTTAGAAATCAATCTGCTCCAAGAAGCCGCAGGCTTAACGTTTAACCCAGAGGAAGGATTTATGCCGGGACCCACTCTAGCCTGTCTCTCTGTCTCTCTCTCTCTCTCGCTACCTTTTCCCAGGCTCACATCCCCTCCCCGCCCCTGCACCCTTCCTAACCCTCACGGCATTCGTCCGACCCCCTCCCCGCCAGCGCCCCTCACCTTCTCTGCCGGGATGCTTGAAGGTCATCGCCGCCGCGAGCTCTCCGCCGTGCACGGTGACGCCGGCCCCGGGGGGCGCCAGCGGGGAGGCCTGCGCCGGAGGCCAGGGCGCGCCCGGGGCGAGGTAGCCGCCGGCCGGCGCACTGTACACGCCGTGCTGGTTGGAGGCCGGGTAGGCGCAGGCCGGGAGGAAGCCGCCCACTGCGGAGAGGCCGGAGGCCGACTGTGCGGATAGAGAGGGACAGACCCTCAGCAGCAGGCAATTCCGCCGCCTTCTCCAGCACACGCAGTTACTGAGGTGGGGATCCTCATTTGCCCCTGCTGTTCCCTCAATTATCCCCGCGCGAGGCCTGACCTCTAATTTTTCTAGTAAGAACTCTGGCAGAGTGATTTCCACTCAAATTATTATAAATAGTAATAAAAGGTGATGATAGCATTCACCACCCAGGATTTAGAGAAACGGAGTCCTCGACCATCTGTGATCTGGGTTCCAGCCTTTTTAGCAAAAGTATCTCAGCAAAAGGCAAGTCAATCCCCTCGAAAGCCAGCCTCCCCCAAACCAGTGCGCTTGAGCGAAGGGGAGAAACACGCGGCACGGAAGCTCCGGCGGCCGCTGGGCGCGGGGGCGCGTTCTCTTCTCTGCCTCTCTCTTCCCCCCACACTCCCCCAGCCCTTCTGCTCCCCTGGTTAAGGACATCTTCCCCTGCCGCTTGGTTACCTGAGTGTATTTAATGTCGGCCTCCAAGGCAGGTTTCTCGAGCCCATTCACTGCTGAGGTGGCGGGGAAGGCCGTGCGGTTCACGCCGGCCCAGTCTTCCATCTTGGGGGAGTAGGCGGCGCCTTCGCTCCCGGCCAGAGCCCCTGCGGGGGACACAGGACGGATTAGGGGGGCATCCAGATCTGCGCTGGGCACGCCAGCGGCCCCGCAGCCGGGACGTTTACACGCGAGGCTACAGGCGCTCAGCTCGCATCCGAGGGCGCGGCCAAGGGTCTTCCAAACACCGGAGGCGGCCAAACGCGCGGAGAGCGAGCGGCGGGGCCGGAGGGCCGGAGGCCAGGGAGGTTCGCTTCCCCTCCTAGCGGGCAGAGGGAAGGAAGGCAGCAGGGCCTGCTCCTCGCTCCTCCCGGCCCTCGACCCGCTTCCCGCGAAACCGCAGTTCTCAGGCGGGGAGGCGGCGCGTGGGGCAGGGGCTCGGTACACTTGGCCAAGGCGGCCTTTCTGCTGTCCAGAGACGGCGCCCGGAAAGGTCCAAGTTCAAATCCACAGCAGGCTCATGAGAATTATATGGGTTTCTCAAAGTTTCCCCGTCTGCAGGGCTGGGAGAGGGTTCTACTCAGAACTGCCTCCGGAGACTTCCTGGGTCTCCCAAAAGAGCGTCAACTCAGCGACCCGCGCGCGTCCCGGGCACGGCTGCTTCTCGCGCACGTGTGTGCCCGGGGAACCGAGAGAAAGCTCCAGATTTCAGCGCAGGCCTGGTGAGGTCACCTCCCAGCGAGGTGCCCACCGGTCGCTCCATGGGAAGCTTTGGCTCCAGCCGGCAGCCCAGGCCGGGTTTGAGCGAAGAGAAGAACAAAGCGTGTTCGCGGCCTCGGAGGCGCGCCTCTCTGCAGCTGGAGCTAAGCATTCAGTTTCTTTCTGGCCGCCCCTCCTTTCTCTGGGGCTACGGTGAATTTTGTTTCTTGCCCTCCTCCTGAGTATGCTCACCTAAGAGCGCGCCATCCCCTGGCCGCCTGCTGAGGGCAGGGGACAGTGCGAAGAGACTCGGGACTCAGTCCCAGCCCACAAGCGTTCTTGCCCGAGCCGAGCCCCGCACCAAGGCCGCCCTACACCTCTCTCCATCTCCCCGCCGCCTCCCTTCCCACTGAGGCAAAGACCGACAGTTTGCTGAATTATAATTGCAGGCAAAGAGCGAAGCTTTGTGAGCTTGCACCCAGAGGACTGCTGCAGTCCAGTGGCGCCGTCACCCGAGACCCCAGCTCTAGGACCTGCAAGGCTGCCCGGCCTGCTGGAGGTCTAGGCCACTCCACAGGACCCACCAGAGGCCCGTTTGCCTTTTACTCAAAAGAGCCTCTGGGCCTGGGAGGGACAGAACCCTTTGGGGAACGTGAGGGATGCCGAAAGATCCAGATCTTAAGAAAGGGTCGCAGAAATGACTGCGGTTTGTTTGGCTTAGATCTGGCGATAGGAGTTTGCATACTTTTTGCAAGAATGAAAAAGCGCAATTTCAGGCCTCCGAATTTGTGGTTGGCGATTGCTCGTCTATTTGGGAAATATTTTCCATATTTGTCATAAAAAGTTCAAGATGTCCGAGGACTCCCACAGAAGGCCCAGGACCCTCAGCCTTCCTGGCCAGCCCGGAGCCCTCCCCTGAGCCAAAACCGGTGGGAGGAGGACGGCGAGTGTGACCCCGCACCCACATGCCTGCCCTCCCCACCCCCTGCCCCCAGTCTCAAATTCTGCCCCTCTCTGAAGGCAACAGAGGGCCGCCACGACTGACCTGTTTGCTCCATAAACGTCCGGATGCCCAAGATGTTGCTGACCGAGTGCGCTGAGGGCCATGAACGGGGGATGCTGACGTGACCTGCTGTGCCCGGGACCCCGTGGTGGCTGCCCATCTTGGCACCCGTGGGCGACACGGGGCTGGGGTAGGGGTACTGGTAAATATGGTTGTAGGGCAGCGTTGGCTGCGGCGGCGGCTGCTTGCTCGGCTCGTAGGGCCCGGGCTGCGCCAGGCTGCCAATCTTATTGCGCAGGATGCGGCTGATGGAGCTCACAGAGGGCACATTGTACTTGTCGCAGACGCCGTCGGCCAGCAGCCGGTCGCGGATCTCCCAGGCAAAAATGCCAGGGTCGCCCTGCTTGTAGTCCCGGATGTGTTTGACCACGTTGGGGGTGGTGACGCGGGGTTTGCTGCCCCCAATGGCCCCGGGCAGGATGGAGCCTGTCTCGTTGTAGCGCGCCAGGATCTTGCTCACGCAGCCGTGGGATACGCGAAGCTGCCGGCTGATGTCACAGGGTCGGATGCCCAGCTGCGCCAGCTCCACGATGCGCAAACGGATGGCATTGGGCAGGGGGCGGCCGTTGACGAACACACCGCCCAGCTGGTTCACCTCGCCGTACGTCTGCTCTGCGGACGCGCCGGACGAGAGTGAGCGGGAGGGGGAGAAACACCGGCGGGTTAGCCACGGGTGGCTGCGCGGGGCTAGGGCACGCACCCAGGAGCGCCTCCGAAGATGACCCGTGGGTACCCAGAATCTGAGAGCAAACGGACTGGGTCCGGCTCCCGGAGTGAGTGCGGGCGTAGGGACCGCAAGGCGGGTACCGGGCGCTTCAGCCCTCCGTGGCCTTTCGCGACTTTTGATGCGTCTACTTGAGACATGCCCTCCCGCGACACATCGAACTTCCCCCCACTCCACCCCACCGAGGGCTGGGGGCGTGCGGAGAATGCGGCTCATCTGGGATCCAGGACCAGGTCCCCCAGGGAAAGCGGGCGAGAGAGAAGGGAGGCGCCAGGACACAGCCGAGCTCGTCAGCCCTCCCGCGCCCTGCTTGCCTCCCGCCCCTTACCCATGGCGCGCGGGCCAGCCAGCTGCCTGGCGCCGGGGCGGCCGGGGCTGGGCCCGGCGCAGTCCGGGAGAGCTCGGGCGCCGCCGCCGCGGGAGAGGCATAGAGCGAGGGCGCGCGCGAGCCGAGAGCCGCGGCGGCCCGGCCGCGGGCTAGAAACGCGCTGTGCGCCGCCGCCGAGCGCGCCGCCGCCCGCCCCCGGGCCCGCCGCCGCCGCCGCCGCCCGCTCCCAGGACACTCTCCAGGCCCGCGACCCCAGGCCCAGCGTGAACTTCATCCGATTAGGAGAAATTCGTCTGACCGGGAGGCTGCAGCGTGCGGGGATCAATTTGACGTGTCCTCCACGTCAATCTCGGCAGTCACGCCGGAGACGCCCGAGTTGGCAGCTCATTGGTTCCCGTCACTGCACCCCGGCGCCCCCCTCCCCGCCCTGAAACTCTACCCCCTCCTCCCGTCCTCCTCCCCCCTCGGCCTTCCTCTGGAACCCATCCCCCTACACACACACACACACACACACACACACACAAGTCTAACCCCAGCTGGGCCTGAGGCCTTTCACTCGCTCCGCTCCCCTCGAAGCCTTACCCCTCTGGTTTTGAGAATGATGGGGTAGTCATTTCAAATAGATGAGTAGTACTTAGTTTCAACTAGATGAGTAGTACTTAGTACTAGTTTACTACTAGTACTAGTCTGGGTTTTAGTTTTATTCTTAACTCCACCGCCATTACTACTAAGATATCAGAGGATTAAAGCTGATCCTGGCGAGGCGTTTAGTGTGTGGCTGCCTCTACCGCCCCTCTCTCTGGGCCACGGGAAGAATGGTTTCAGCGCCCCAGCTCCTGGCGGGCGTGCGTGCATCGCGGCGAGCGCCCAGGGTGGCGTAGGGCGCCTGGCGGGGAGGGCCCAAAGCGGTTTGCTGCGGAGCCCACTCCCGCGTGTTCAGTTTCTGGCTGAGACCCCAGTCCTCAGGAAATCTTTATAATGTTTAGTGGCCGCCCACTCCCTTGTGGTAATGGTGTGATTTTAGTGAGTGATGTGAGGGGGGCACATTCTAGATCCCGACTCCCTGCAGACAGCACCTCCCCCCAACTCATTCTCTCTAAGAAGTGACACAGGACGCAGGTCGGAAAGGGACTCGGACCTGCTGCCGCCAGAGGCAGGGATGCGGCCCTCCCTGGACCCAGGCGGTCCCAGCGGCCTTTGCACGCTCTAGGCCTGAAGGGCAGTTCCCTTCTCCTAGGCCGGAAACCCGCATCCTTCCACGTGGGGGAGGCTGGGTCTCACCTTTCACCCAGAACCTGCGGCTTCCAGGGGGTCTTCGTTAAACCGCTGAATGGCCCTGTCCCCTTCATTTAAGCGGGGGTTTGCGCAACCCTTAACTCTTTGGCCTTAGCATTAAATGTCAAGTCTTCTTTATTTCTATCCTGCATCAACGCCCAGCCTGTGTCCCTAACCGTGGCCGCCACAAAGAAAGCCACGCGGTGAGGTACAGGAGAGAGCAGGTGGAGGGACAAAGCTCCTGGTTTTGCACTGGCCAGGACCCGGGAGTTCCAAGCGTGAGGCCAGTAAGCGCCAATGGCGTTGGGCTGAACTGTAAGAGCAGGAAGGGGGACCTAGGAGGGAGCCTAGGAAATGCCATGATTCTCGGACTCCCGTATGCTCCCAGCTCTCCTCAGGAGGCGGGAAGAATCCCCCGCCCCCTTCCCCCCAAGAGTCTAGCGTTTGGCAGCCACCGGGGAGCTGCGTACCGCCACGGTGCAGTGATGCTGCCGGAGGCACGATGAACCAGATCAGCGCAGCCTGAGGAGCAGTGGCGACCTAGTCCCTGACCCCTTTCCCTCCGCTGCGGACCGGAGAGCGTCGCTGGCTCCTAATCAGCCTCTGGGAATGTGTCTATGAGGAGGGCCTGAGCCATAAATCTGGTTCTTTGGAGGGAGCGCGCGGGCCCGGCAGGGCTGGGCCCAGGTCCACAGGCAAGAATTATCCTTGGAAAAAGAAAACCCAGGTTCAGAAGAGGTGAGGACTCTCCCCTCCCGCAGCACGGAGAACACAGTACAGCGTCGGGCTCCGGGGGCTTCGGGAGGCCTGGGGACTGGGAAGAGGAGAGTCAGGGCACTGGTGAGGGGAGGGGATACTACCTGGAAGCCTAGGCTAGGCCTGTCCGCGAGGCGCAGGGTCGGGTTACAGAAGGGGAAAGGAGGTGCTTGGATTAAAGTGGGCAAACCCGAACCAGGAGCCCTGCGAAGGCGCGGAGCAGAGGACTGGGCACGCGCTAGATTTGGGGGCTCCGAGGCCATAGGGAGTGGTCTGTGCCCCGCTCAGTTCTCTCCAGATGGTTTCGATACTGTTAGCCCCTGATCTAGACTTTGGTTGCCTAATTTTCAAGACTGGCTCAGAGACCAAAAAGATTGATTCCTAGACCTGGGAAATGCAACATCCATAACTCAGTGCATCCTCAACATAAGGTAAAGCAGTTAAAGCCATTTTTTCCCCTGCAGGCGAGGAGTCAGCAGGCAGGCTCAGAGAAGAGCAAATAAGGCCAGTCGTGCCGCGGTGAGAGCCCAACTGCCCTGTCAGAGAATGGTCACCCCATCTCTGCTGGTAGAGTGCGGGGCGCTGGCAGGTGCAGTCCAGGACTGCATCTTCTCCCCACTGCCCTCGGCTAAGGGCGTCCGGGGCTGGGAAAGATGGTTGGAGGATTGCCCCTGGGTCTTTCTGAGGTGTCGGACCCACGGGGCCCTCACTAGACATCCCACATCCCTCCACCCTCCACCCCTTCAGCAGCTAGCTGCTGCCTGCTGGGACCACACAGCGCTCGCTGCAGCCTGCTTACAGCCCGCCGCCGAAAAAGCTTAGTTTGTCGCCCCCTGTCGGCCCGCGGCTCGGCTCTGCCAGTTCCTGCGCCACGGCTGGCCTGGGGGCGAGGTGGCCCAAAGGTGGAGCGCAGAAAGAAAGGAAACTTCTCTTCCATCTACCCAGGATGCAGCTTGGTCCCCTCCACGACCAGGGGGCGGCAACGGGGTCGGCGCTGAGTGCACAGAGGTAAAAAGCTCGCGGGTTCCACTTCTATGCTTGGCTGGGTTTGGCTCGGTTGTTTTGAGCGCCCTGGACGCAGCGTGCAGCAAAATGAAGAGCGTCTCCCAGGGGCGCGGGAGCCGCCGAGCTAAGGGTGCGCGTCGGACCCGGGACATGACGCGTCCAGCTGGGCTAAATGCCCGGAGGGGAGGAGGACGGATTCGAGGGTCCCCAGTGGCCTCGGGAACTGACCTAGGTTTGCCAAGGCGGAGAAAGAAGGAAAGGCAAGCTCCGTGCCAAAAGCGTGGGGCAAAGAGGAGGCGGGAAGAGGGTGCGTGCCTTTCTGGGGACTGGCGGCTGGTGGCGGCAGGAAGGGTGGTGGGTGTATATTCCTTGGCGGTGCGCCACCTGAGTCCAGCACCCTAAAGTTAAGGCTGCGAGACAGTCAGAATTTCGGTGACAAGGTCGTCCTTGGAACGACAGTCCCCCCCACCCCACCCCACCCCCCACCCCACCTCACCTCACCTCACGTCTCCAGCGTCGCTTTGATTTTTGGTGGGATTGGGGGAGATATTTGGGTGTAAACGAAACGTGCAATAGGCCAGCTTGTTCCCGGGGCCCGTGCATTTAAAAGTCTTCAGGAGAAACCAAAACTAACAGATGAAAGTCCCACTTGGGTCCGCAGGGCTGAAGGAGCAACCGCGGGGCTGGGCGCGACAGGACGCGCGCGTTTCGGTTCTGCCTGGAAGGACCAGAGGGCAGAAAACACAGGCAGCATCCTGCGGAGGGCCCTGGGCCTGGGCCTGACTAACACCGAACGCCAGTTCCCCCTCTCAGCCTCCCGCCGGAGGAGCCACAAGACCAGTGCGGACTCCGAGCGAGCAGGGTCGGGGTCCTGGGGTCCTCCTTCGGACCCCCGCGCCTCAGGCCTGCGGAGCCCGCAGCCGTTCCCGCGAGTGTCCTGGCTAAACGCAGGCCCCGCGCTTTTGCTATGATTTAGAGAGCACTGTGCCGTGAGCCGTGTGGTTAGAAATCAAACAAACCGAGTCTCTTAATTTTCCTTTTAAATTTACTTTTTAAAAAAGTAGCGCAGACTACAAACTATTGTGCCCCTACACACACAGTTTAGCAAAGGAGATCCTGCGTGCCACACTCGAGAACAGTGAACCAGGTCGCCGGAAACGGGAATGTGGCAGAAGCAAGGAAACCCCAGCCAGCGTGACCGCGACGTTGGGAGGAGGGAGGGAGAGAAGGGAGGAAGAAGGATACGCGGTCGAATTGGCACCTTTGCGGGCGGCTGGCCTAGGGAGACCGGGCTGGTGTGTCCTCCCCACCAAGTGAACTCACAGGAAAGGGGTGGGGGGCCTTGTGAGCAGCCGTGCTTCTCCAGATTGGGATACAAGTGCTCCCCAGATCCCAAAAGGAAGGTGTTGAAGATGGTGCCAATTAGCATTAAAATTGAGCCGAGATCCAGAAATACCGTCTTCGGTGCGGTGGCGTGCACAGACCCATTCCCGCCGCTTGTTTCCCCTTGGCCAGCTTGTGACCACGGTGGGCTTGAAGTCCTTGGCCCAGCCTCGCATTTCATTTGCTATCCTGGAAATGTTTATTATTGCAAGCGGGTCAGGTCCACAGTGGTGGGTTGGAGGGCCGTTTCCGCTTACACTAGCTGCTGACGGCGGGGGAATGTCCATGGAAATGCAAGGGAGAGACGCAAAGAAATTTTTTTTCCTTTTCCTAAAATGAAATGAACAAACAAGAAGAGATGAAGATTTCCGCGTAACAAAACGGTTCCCCATTCCGTTCAGAGGCTTAGGAAAAAAACAAATCAGAAAACGAAGACTTGCAGTGAAACCTCCCACTAGAAATAAACAAGGGGAAATGGAGTGTGGCAAAGGAAGGTCCAAGATACTTTCTACCCTGCGATACCCATTTATAACCTTCTTGGGGTAGAAACATTTTAAATGCGGCATTTGGGTGATAAAAATAAATGAGAGGAAGCTAATGACGTTTGTAGGAAGAAAGTTTCTTTGAACCTTCTGAAGGAGCAGTGTCCGTGTCGTTCTTGCGTGTATATTCTCATGCGTGCATAGTCCAGAGTTCCCATTATCGCTCTGTCTCCCTGCCTTCCCCGGCAACGGGCATGTCAGATAAGCTTAAATTTCCCCTTGTATAAAATGACTATGGTGTAGAATTACATCTATATCATTTCATTCCATCAATATAAAGCCAGCAAAATTCCACCTTTGCAGTGAGCTCTCA